GAATACTGCTCCATTACCCACCAGTGAGGCCCTTTCTCCCTGAGTAAAGCATGCTGTGGACCACTGGGTAAAAATGAACCAGCTAGCTGGGCACCTGCTCTGCTCCTTCACTCTAAGGGCATTGGGACCAGCTTCCTCCCACTCCTGCTGCCCTCCCTACCCTGCTGTAATGGACCACATTCCCTGAAGTCCTCCCTGACATCGCAGACAAACCACCCACCCCTTCATTGCTTCTTGTCCAGTATTTTATCATAGCAATTTGAAAAGTAATGAATCAAAAAAAAAAATACCAATACATAGAAGGCTGTTGCTATGACAACCATGACCAGGTGGTTCATAGGCCTTTAGAACCTGTTTGTAGTAGGAATGTGGAGACTGTGGAAACTCTGTGCCACTCTAAAAATAACACCACAGTGGAATAATGAACTTTGCACAAGTGCAAAGCAAACATCTTATGAAAAATAAAAGTAGGGGATGGGAAAAATTACTCAGTGGGTAAGAACCCTCACTATGGACATAAAGGCTTAGTCCAAACCCTCAGCAATGTAAAAAACCAGGTGTGGCCCATGTGGGCCTGCAACCCAGGGGGTGAAGAGACAGGAGGATTTCTGTGGCTTACTGGCTGCCAGAATATCTGGAAAACGGCAATTTCTAGGTTCAGTGAGAGAGCCTATCTCAAAGGACTAAGGTAGAAAGAGACAGGACACCTGGCATTATCCTCTGGCCTCTGTATATGTACATTAACACACATGCAGTATGTACACATACAGATACACATATACACACACACATGCATGCAAACATGTGTTATACACACATGCACACATACATGTGCACACACATATGCACACACACACTCAAATACACACACGTCCTCACATGCACACACATATTCACATCACACATATAAGAACATCTGCCCTAGCCCAGAATTGCCCAGGATTCCGTTCATCTATTCAGAACTCTGGCAGTGCTAGGCCTCGTCCACAGCTGATTATGCAGTCTGACCATTATTTACTTTGGGTCAAAGTAGCCTGAGTGGGCCCCCTCACTGTTTGAACCTAACATCAACTTCCTGCCCTTGAGGTCCCTGCTTACCTTTCCTCCCACGCACTCAGAGGCCAAGTCAATCAGCTGGGTAAAGTCCAGAAATCTGGTCAATTTTCCCTCCTTTGGAGTATCAGCCATGCTTCCTAAAGTTGAGAAGGGCAGGCCCAGCCAGAAAGCTTCAAGAGTGAGGAGGTCTCAGAAACCATGCCTGGAGGCCTTCAGAGATGAGGCAATGAAGGGCTGGACTGTTCTTCACCTTGGTGAGAGTTAAGCAACCGAAACAGACAGGAAGTTAGAAACGGGTAAGAATAAACAGGACCTAACACAGAGATTCCAATGGCAACCACACTAGGCCATGTTGTGTCTTGATTACTGTCGTAGTCACCTTTCTATTGCTGTGAAGAGACATTATGACCAAGGTAACACCTGTAAAATAAAATAATTAGGGCTTCCTTACAGTTTCAGAGGTTCAGTCCATTATCATCATGATGGGAGCATGGCAGGCTGCAGGCAGACATGATGGGAGAAAACAGTGAGAGCTCCATATCCAGATCCACAGGCAGCAGGGGGAGAAACGTAATGGGCCTGGCTTGGGCTTTTGAAATCTCAAAGCCTACCCGCAGTGATGCACTCCCTTCAATAAAGCCACACCTACTCCAAAAAGGCCACACTTCCCAATCCTTCTCAAGCAGTGCTGCTCTCTGATGAGTCACCATTCAGATACATGAGCCTATTTGGGGGGGGGGGGGTGATTCTTATTCAACCTACCACAATTACCTAAAAGGGAAACATTAATTTTAACAAAGAACAACTTGCTTTTAATTGTTAATTTTGAGTGCATTCTAGTAATACTCTAGAACAATCAGGCAGCAGGCACAACATGAGGCTTGCTTACTGTGGGAGCCCTGCACAGCTGGGCAGATGCTGCCTCAGCCGGAGACCAGGCCACAGACCCAGAGGTTTTCATGTCACCAGGAAAACAAGAGGCTAACTCATCTCTCATTTTGAAGTTGAGAAAGCATGGTAAAATAGAGAGAGGGTCCAAAGGAGCCCAAGGCCCTCCCTAGCCCTAAACTAATGAGTGGCCCTTATAATCCTATTTATCTCCTCCTGATCAGACAGAGAAAAACCATATAAAAATTAACATATTAGTGACTTTGTACCACTGCGGCAACAATAAAACACCTGACAGAAACAATTTAAGATTTGGATTGCCTCAGGTTGGTTTAAGAATTGGTTTGGTTTCACCCACACCAAGGCACAGGAGCATGTGACAGAGGTTTTTGTCAGGATAGCTCAAGATGCACAAGCTATGACCGGAAGTGGGAGTAACATTCCCTGAAGACCCTCCTCCAGTGACCTACTTCCTCTAGGTGGGCCCCATACCTCAAAGTCTCCAGGACCTCACAGAGCCACATCACAGCTGAGGACCAACTGACCAAAGCATGAAGCTCGGAGGGGATATTTCACCTTCAAACTACATCTAAGGTCTCAGTATGAACTCAGTCACAGAAGTGCATTACTTGGGTGAGAAGTCAACCCTGCCTCAAAATCACAAAAGCATAAGTAATATTAAGCAGCATTTTTTTTCCAGTGAAACAGACACATATTTAAGAAACAGGCACTCCTGAAGAGCTGAAGAGATGACTCTGTCAGTAATGTACTTACTGTGTAAGGAGGGGGACCTGAGTTCAATTCCTAGAACCCAAATTTATAAATAAGGAAGAAAGAAAGAAGGAAAGAGAGAAAGAAAGAGAGAAAGAGAGAAAGAGGAAGAAAGGAAGGAAGGAAGGAAGGAAGGAAGGAAGGAAGGAAGGAAGGAAGATGGTACTTGAAGATTGACACCCAAGGTTGGCATGTACATGTCCACCCACATATGTGCACGCACATACACACACATTCACACGAACTCACACATGAGCTCAGAATCTACAGAGAGAAAGCAGCAATACCCAGTGAGTGAGCACCTCACCTGAGAAAGCAGCTCCTATGATCTTCCAAGGCTGGCTCTTTCCTCACCCTGCATGTGGGGCAATCCATCCCCAAGAGTGTCCAAGTGCGGCCCTATCTCCTCTCGTTCCCTGGCAATCCTACCCAGGCTCGAGGCTTATGATCAGCCAGATCCACCCATCTCCATGTCACCACTCTCCTAAGCAGTAGGTCACCAGCTCGAAATATGAAAGATATACAAGATCCCCTTGGAGATCTACAACCCAGAGCCTGTGCATCCTAAGCCACCCACACCCGCCCTGGGCCTTCTCATCCTGATCAGTGGCATGCTGTCCTCCCAGTGACTTGAACGTAACCTAAAATGCCTTCATCCCCTTCCTCTGCCTTCAAGTCAAATCCAGCCTGAGAAAGAGATAAGGAAGCATGAGGTCAGCCTGCAAAGTGGATCCTGACTCAGGGGGAGGAGCTTGACCTAGAACTGCCTCCAATATAAGAGGGAGAGAGATGAGCAAGACTTATCAACCATGACTGGATACAGATGGAGGATTCTTGGAAGGTCCACACTGCGGTATGTTTTCCTACTTTTGTGGGTGCTAGGATGCTCTCAGACACACTCAAAGTTGTACAGATTGTTACGCCACACAGAGACATGGAGAAAGACAGAGAAGAGAAGCCAGTGCCTCATTTCTGCCCTGGTGATGTTCTCCACTATGTACCAGGGGGTGTGGTGCCTCAAGCCATTGTCCCTAGCAGTCAAGAGACTGAAGTAGAAAGATTGCTGCAAGATCAAGCCCACCTTAGGCTATGTAAGTTCACTGCCAACCTAGGCTACCACATGACATCCTAAAGACAAACAACCACCACCAGAAACAGAGAAACTATCCAGCAAGTATTACTGAGCAAAGCACTGCCCTGCACTCTGCAGCTACTGCACTCAGCAGACACCCCCTTCCTTGCTGTGTGTGCATGCACACACCTGTGCATTCATATTCATGTGCATGTATTACAAGTGTATGTGGTTATGTCTCTTCACAGAAGAAGAAAAAAAAACAATCCAAAAGCCACTGTGGAAATCCTTGAAGCTATTATAAAAATGTGTTTTAAATGGGCAGCAGTAAATTAAACAGAGGGAGCAGTTTCTCCTGTCCTTCACCTCTCTCAGATTTGTCATCTGCTCACTTGCTCCAGCCTGCGAGCTTCGCTAGAGATGAGAAGCCATAAAGAGACCCTTACGGTGACTTCTGGGAAATACTCAGCTCTCCATCATTTCCTTAGCAAAGCTCCATCTGCAGCGGAAGTCCTGCTACGCATGCATGTTTAAAACGTGTCACATGGAGAAAAAGCGAGGCAAAGGAGGAGCTGGGGTAGTGCTGTTAATAGAGTGCTCACCTGGTGCTCACAAAGCCCTGTGTTCGATCCTGACACCACAGAAACCAAACAGATGCCTTCTATCCCAGCAGGGACAGAAGGATCAGTAGTTAGAACTATCCTCTACTACATCGTGCCTTTCCCGGCCAGCCTGGGCTATGTGGGATCCTATGCCCAAAAAAGGAAAAGAAGAAAAACTAACAGGCTCTTGTAAAATTCACCAATGGCTCCCTGTGGGGGTAAGTTTCAAAAGAATGTTCAACTCCAGAAGCAAGTTGCCAGTCACAACAGTGGGGACAAGAGGTAAGAAGGGCCAAGCTTACACTTTCCACTGTGGTCACTCCCACTGTCTTCACTACTCTGTCTTTATGCCAAGATACCCATTAAACAGAGGAGGCCTCCTAGGTTAGGTACCCAGCATGTTGCCACATGTCGGAACCAGATGACACGTGTAGCATTGAAATTCAAATCCAGCATCATTTAAAATTCAGCTTCTTCACTGTGTTTATAACATGCCACACATCTAGAACACACAGGTGGCTGGTAACTACTGTTCTGTGAATCAAAGTAAGTCTGCACACTGCAGAGGTTTTCACTGCACGCATAGATGTGTTCACCATTTCTGTGTCTGTTATAGGATAGCAACCATTATGCTAGTTCCCTTTCACTAATGTCTTCAGCAAGTATCAGATATTACTACTGGATTTCCAAAGCCTTTAAAAACCTTTCCAACACAAACACCCTTGACTATGCCAAGGAAGGGCAGGCACATTCCAGTCATGAGCAGAAAGTGAACTTGAGTCTGAGGTAGGAGAGGTGAACGCTGGGGACCTGTGTATGTTTCCACAGCCAAGACTGTTTCATTAGATGCTTTTTAGCTACGGAAGAACAGTCAGATGTGCACTATAGACTGGTCATTAGCCAGTGAGGGGAAGCTGGACTAGATGGAATCAGAAGTTATAGTATTCTATAGGAATTCAGACAAGAAATGCTTGGGGCGCCAGGTGGTGGTAGCGCACGCCTTTAATCCCAGCACTTGGGAGGCAGAGGCAGGCGGATTTCTGAGTTCAAGGCCAGCCTGGTCTACAGAGTGAGTTCCAGGACACCCAGGGCTACACCAAAAAAAAAAAAAAATGCTTGGGGCTGAAGATAAGTTCATAGAGGACTTGGCAATGTGTGCATGAAGCTCTAGGTTTGGACCCCAGCATCTCAAAACAGGAATAATCCTAACACTTGACATAAAAAGTTCATGATTATCCTTGGCTACATAGTAGGTATAAGGCCAGCCTGGGCTACATATGATCCTGGAAAGAGAGGGAGGATAGAGGAAGTGGTAGGGGGAGTCTTGGCAAAGCGTACCGTGTTCACAGGATTTAGGAACTAAGTGGAGAGGGAGCAGTGACAAGCAGGCAGTGAGCATCCGTCAGCTGGTGACTTTGCAGGGACACCGTTGGGAAGGAGGAGAGGTGAGAGACACTGTACTTATCAGAAAGGAGGTGTCCTCCACTGTGAGGAGTGAGTGAGCACATCCAGAGAGATGGTTGCAAATATAAGACCAGACCCAAGATCTGACCGCCCTGGGCTATTCAGAGGGAAGAGGAGGGTTCCCAGGAGACACAACCTGATCCCTGAGCTCTGAATGCTTTAAACTGTAAAGACAGTTTACAAGGAATGGCCATAGAGGAAATTTCCACAAAAAAAAAGAATAAAAATAAGAATAAGAGAAGGAGGAGGAGGAGGGGAGAAGGAGGAGGAGAAGGAAGAAGAAGAAGAAGAAGAAGAAGAAGAAGAAGAAGAAGAAGAAGA